TTAGCTCAGGTGTTCCGAGGGTTTTGTTAAGATTTGTTCTCCGTCCGTGTCGCCGGGGGATCCGTGCTTCTTATTCTCGAGTTGTAGTTTGATATCCTGAGGTTGGAGATGTAGCGAGGGTTTGACTTAAGCTTTCATCATTTCCAGATAACAAACAATCTAAGCGGTGAATAGGAGTCAAATGAAGTAATGATAAAAGCCACTAACGTCGCCTGCAGTCTGGTTTTTCACAAGTCGTACTAATCGCATATCTGCATTTCCCATAAATATGCGAAATTCCTGATATGCAAATTATTGTCAAGGCGCTCTTCGCCCCTCCAACCCAGCAGCTTAGATAGTCGCTCCAAGCCTGGTGGTGAGTCAGACTCTGTCTTCTCGACAGACGCTGTTCTTCACCTGAGGACGGTTGCTTGCGTTGTGGCCGAAACGTCGTGAGAATTGTATTTTATTGTTTTCTTTTTATTATTTCCATTCTACGTGACTTTACCGAAAGAACCAAGAAGATGAATCCCTGCAGTCACGAAAGAAGCTTTAAATCGAAAAATGCATTCTGGTTATTAATCCGTGTACTGGCAGTCTAGAATGTCGATGTATTCTTGTCGCTAAGTTTCAAACTTTTACCGTTGTTAAAAAAAGAGAAAACGCGCCAGTAGTAACGTCCGATTGCCCTGCGTCGTGCGTGGAGATCTGAACGGGATTGTTCAACGACCGTCTCGGCAAGTTGCGATTTGACACGAGGCTGTTACCCCCGCGCCAGGAGACTTGTTTGTGAAACGGTCCAGAAACGTCCGTGGTGGAGGTTGTGTCTCATGCTCCTTTGACAATCTGGAGATTTCCCGGTGGTAGCGACATCACGGACACCGCTACGTGAGGGTGTAGTGGCAGTTCTAGAGGGGTACGGCTACAGGTGTAGCTACACTACAGACACCGCTACGGTGAGGGTGTAGTGGCAGTTCTAGAGGGGTATGGCTACAGGTGTAGCTACACTACAGACACCGCTACGTGAGGGTGTAGTGGCAGTTCTAGAGGGTCACGGCTACAGGTGTAGCTACACTACAGACACCGCTACGTGAGGGTGTAGTGCTGGTTCTAGTGGGGCACGGCTACATGTGTAGCTACACTACAGACACCGCTACGTGAGGGTGTAGTGGCAGTTCTAGAGGGTGACGGCTACAGGTGTAGCTACACTACAGACACCGCTACGTGAGGGTGTAGTGCTGGTTCTAGAGGGTGACGGCTACAGGTGTAGCTACACTACAGACACCGCTACGTGAGGGTGTAGTGCTGGTTCTAGAGGGGTATGGCTACAGGTGTAGCTACACTACAGACACCGCTACGTGAGGGTGTAGTGCTAGTTCTAGAGGGTGACGGCTACAGGTGTAGCTACACTACAGACACCGCTACGTGAGGGTGTAGTGGCGGTTCTAGAGGGTCACGGCTACAGGTGTAGCTACACTAGACACCGCTACGTGAGGGTGTAGTGGCAGTTCTAGAGGGGTACGGCTACAGGTGTAGCTACACTACAGACACCGCTACGTGAGGGTGTAGTGCTGGTTCTAGAGTGTACGGCTACAGGTGTAGCTACACTACAGACACCGCTACGCGAGGGTGTAGTGATGTTTCTAGAGGGTGACGGCTACAGGTGTAGCTACACTACAGACACCGCTACGTGAGGGTGTAGTGCTAGTTCTAGAGGGTACGGCTACAGGTGTAGCTACACTACAGACACCGCTACGTGAGGGTGTAGTGGCAGTTCTAGAGGGTCACGGCTACAGGTGTAGCTACACTACAGGTGTAGCTACACTACAGACACCGCTACGTGAGGGTGTAGTGCTGGTTCTAGAGGGCACCGGTTGATAGCGCTGGATGTCACCACGCTTGGCGTGCAGTGCCAGCCCCTACAGTATGTGGTGTGGGAGTGCCGGCCGTAGGAACTGGGTTACTAGAGGCCGTGGCACTCGGGTTGACCCGTGAGGACACGTGATCGGTTAAGTCGACAAAGGTGGTGGGGGGGGGGGCTGGGGTGGTCACGTGGCCAAGGTCCGGATCCTGCTGGAGGATTCTGGAAGGTGGGCGTGGCCAAGGGGCGGAGCTCCCACAGGGGGACCGGCTTTGTTCATCCTGAAGAATTCTACGTCACAGCGGCGGGGAACGTCCGGCCGTGTAAGGAAGGCTCGCGAAATCATTTGGCAGTTCCCGCCATCACATTCGGGTTGAGTTGATTAAGTGTTTGACCAAATATAAACGGGCTAATCTTTAAGTTGAAAGTTGATACTTTTGTACGGCCCGCGAATTATGTTATCAATGTCCGGACCTTGGCAGAAAAAAAAGTTTCCCCACCGCTGAATCTATGTCCTGCAGGTGGAGGTGCGAGGCGTGGTCACGTGGTCAGGGTCCAGATCCTGCTGGAGAATTCTGGAAGGTGGGCGGCGCCAATGGGCGTGGCCAGCCCACACCGCGGAGAACAGGAGCCGAGTCCCACAGAGCGGAGGTCCCAAACCTTTTTGGCACCAGGGACTGGTTCCGTTGAAGACAATTTTTTCACGGACAGGAGATGGGAAGGAGTTTCATCATTGGGTCTTTCCCCCCTTTTCAAAGAAGCTCTCCGGCAACGTTTTTGACTCATTGTGGCCGCGGGAAAGAGGCACGGACGAAAGTGGTACATAAAATGGGCGGGCCCGATTCCTAACAGATGCGCCTTTTTGGCATCATCTGGTCCAACACCATGTGAGACTAGGCTCTTAAGGAAAGCGGTCTCGGGTGTGGGCCAATCAACTTCAAGGACAGTGCATATCCAGAGTTTGTTATTGTGGTCAATGCAAACATGACGTCAAAAAGGTGTCAGTTTTGTTGCCAGATTAAAAATTCTATTTTTTACTGGCAAATGAGGTACCAATGGTGTAAATGCTTAGCCCGAGCTCTCATACTCTGATGGTGCATTGTCTTTGAGTTGTGCACCTTTTGGCGTCATCTGGTTCAACACCATGTGAGACTAGGCTCTTAAGGAAAGCTGTCTCGGGTGTGGACCAATCAACTTCAAGGACAGTGCATGCATTATCAAAGTTGTTTTTTTGTTTGCATTGACTGCAGGTATTGTGGTCTATGCAAACATGACTCCTTGTAAATAAAGGTCAGTTTTGTTGCCAGATAAAAGGGTAAAAAAACAATTATCCTAACAGGTTGCGAACCCCCCTTGCCCCAGAGAGACCAGCTGCGTTCATCCTGAAGAAATCTTCAACGTCCTAGAGCTGTGGTCAGGCCCGTTAGCTGCGAGTTACATTGTAATTAGTGTGGTGAGCCTGGTCACCACCACAGGTTGTTCTTCTGTTAAGGGGCAGTTACCCAGTGTCGTGTTAAATGAATGTTGCCTCCAAGAGTCTGCGACTCAGTTGAACTCACTACACTTGAGGCATAAGCAATTGGGAAATAAACACTTACGACCCAGGAATTAAAATCGTGTGAATCATTGTCAGAGCATGTGTTTTTTTGTTTGTTTGCATGTTCACGAGTACGTGTGGTTAATGCAGACAGGATTCCTTGAATGGACTGTTTGGGTGTGTTAACATCTTGATACAGCAGCTTTAGCCGTGAAAGTGTAAACTTGAACGTGATTTGAGGCTAGTAAAAGTAAAATAAAATCAAGTGATACAGCATTCGTGCTGTGACGGTTCCACCTGAAGACTGAAGCTTGTGTTGCCTCCGAAACGTCTATTTTTATTTTATACCTACGTGACTTTACCGAAAAAACCTAAGAATATGAATCCTTGCAGTCACGAAAGCTTCAAGTCTAGAAGGGATTTGAAGCTTGTGACTGCAGGAATCCACTCTGGTTCTTTAGGTAAAGTCCACGTAGGTAGAAGAAACACACAGGTAGGAACAACAGGTTCCACACTGCCCACCAGGGATTATTTGTCTCTCTGTCGTGCACGAATGCGCTGTCCAACCAAGTTCCTACCTGCCCTACTCCGAAGGAACGTCAGGACGAGTTACAATAATAATAATAAATCTGTTTCCATCGCCACACAAGCAGTCGTCCTCAGACGGAAAAAAAACAGGTCCCTGCGGGGTGGGGCTGGTAGGAACGAACAAATACGATACGAAGGGAGAGTTTGAGGCCTAGTTCTAGGCTTTAGGCCGCTGCGAGTTAATTTTTAATTTAAATTTTTTAATTAAAAGCTATCTCAGGGAATTATAAGGGAATGTTACACTTGTTTAGCCAGAAAAGTGTCACCGAGTCTAAAGGTTTTTGTAGGGTCCTGCCAAGTGTTTGCAGTAGGGGGCGATGTCGCTACACCTAATCGGACGGACGATATAATCTATTGTAGGCTGGTTCACTTCGTTCCTACCAGTATAATCCAGCTGTAGTTACACTTCTGGAGGACAACCGCTTGTGTTGCGATCAAAACTCAAGAGCGCTGAACTGGTGACGACAAGATTGGGGCCACCTTCACTCGATGTGGCCGTGCCGTGTCCAGCGACTCGCATTTTATATTGACGCCAGAAGTCGCAACCGGGTACCCGATACCCATACCCTACCCGATACCCAGCCGATTACGGGTAGCCGTTTGCGACCCTGGTGCAGCCAGGTACGTGTACGGGTAGACCGTGAGTCACTGGTGAGTAACCGTTTGTCACTCATTTTGGGTAGGGTACAGGTACCTGTACCCGGCCGGGTACGGGTACCCATTTGCGACCATGGTGCGACCGGGTACGTGTACGGGTAGACCGTGAGTCACTGGTAACCGTTTCACTCATTTCGGGTAGGGTACGGGTAGGGAACAGCTACCCGTACCCGGCCGGGTACCCATTTGCGACCGGGTACAGGTAAGGAATCAAAACCCGTTTGCGACCTCTGATTGACGCCATCTCACCACCATCACCAATAGCCTCGACTAGAATGGACAAAGTGAAGCCCCCCCTCTCTCGCCTGGAGGCAGTGTGGGGTGATGGGGTGTGTGGAAGGGATACGTCCAACCCTAAGGTAGTGAAAACAAGTGGGGTGTAGGCATTTTGAATTTTATTTTCTTAAAAAAATGGTTGCAGTGTGACGAACAAAATACTGGCAAATGGTTCGGAAATGTCCAAGGGAATGAAATTATTTTCAAATTATTTTTCACCCCCCTCCCCCCCCCCCCGAGATTTAGGAAAATGGAAATAAATTTTGGTTTAAAAAAAATTCTGGGGACAAACTTATTTTTGCTTTGCGTTGCAAACTCACACTCACTCCCCCCCCCCTGCCCCCCCCCCCCAAATTTAAAATCGATCTTTAAAAAAGCCTTTTTATAACAATAAAAAAACCATCACAACAACAACAACGGTATAAACCGGTAAAATAACGGACCCGCTACAAAAACGTTACTTTTTTTACACACTCGGGACTTATTTATTATTCATTAACTTTCAAAATGCGGATTACGGATAGGAGGGGTAAAAAGGAACGAGTGGGTGTGTGGGGGGGGGGGGGGAGAATAGGGGGGGGGGGGGGCCTGTTTTTTGCTTAAAAAAATGAAAACTCTACCAAATAAAATGAAAAGACACAACATTTCAATATCGGAAAAAATAATGCAGCTACACAACAAAACCACAACGGGCGGAGCGGGGTGGGTGGGTGGGGTGGGGTGTAACGGACCGAGGGTTTACACGGAGACAAATCGCAGTGACGCTCGCTGAGGCGCAGACCTCCAGCCTCCAGCTGATGGGGGGGGTGGAGAGGGCAGAAAAGGGAAGTTAGCAACCACGAGCTCGGCAGACGACCACTCACGTAGCGCGGACAGAGACACGCGGACAGAGACACGCAGACACAAGAGACACGCGGACAGAGAGACACGCGTACACGCAGACACAAAGACAGACGCAGCAGCAAGACTGAGGAAGTCCCGAGAGAGGGAGGGGGGGGTCCACATTGTTCCAGCCGCGGTGGCTAGGGGATGCCAACTACCTCGCCTGGTACGCAGGAGGTCGTGGGTTCGATCCCCGACATTGCAACCTTGTGGTGGGGAGCGGGGGTTACCCCAGGGGTCGTGAAAAAGAATTACAAGGTTTTCATTCAACCTCCCGACAAAAATGTCAAGTCAAGTAGCGGTATAACAGGGGAGGCCAATTATAACCGGGTTGAAATTAGCTGGGTATGTTTTTAGACAACAGGAACGGGAAAGGGAGGGAGGGAGGGAGGAAGGGGGACTTCCACATTCTTATCGCGTAACCATCATCACCACCACCACCATTTCATATCATCGTCGCCACAATAAAAGCAGGGCTGGGCAGGAAAGCGCTAGCACCAAGGCTTTTCTTTGGCTTTGGCAGCCCTTGACGCAATAATTCCCTCTCCCACCAAACCAACTTGACGACCTCCGTGCCATACGACTTTTGAAAAGAAAAAAAACAACCACTCACGCACACACACGCAGCAAACACCAAAAACATTTAAACTCCCTCAGCGACGAGGCAAAGTTCCCGGTCAATACTCCGGCCCGTTTCAAAAAACGGGGCGTAGCGACAAACTTGACGCTAACAAAAGTACAAAAAGGCATCAACTTTCGTCTGTTGTGGTTGTAGAAGGGACGTGAGGACACGACAGATCAGACGAACATTAGTTAGCAGGGGGGGGTCACCCCCCCCGCGACCCACTCTCCCCTTTAGACCTGGAAACAGTTTAACGGTAACATTACATCTCGTTAACATTACATCGACGCATGGTTAACATAGCAGAAACACACAAGTAGCAACCCTGGCGGTCTCTGTAAATAGGGGGAGGGGAATGGAGGCGATGGTCGGTAGCTTTAAAGTAGCCTTACGTCAAGAACCAAGACAATTACGAATCTGTCTGCAAACGAGAAACGGGATTTGGGGGGGTAATCGACAAACTTGGGGGTTACCTCCACACAAATCAGTGACACACTTTTATAGCGTACACACACACACACGAGAGAGAGAGAGCGCGAGAAAGAGAGCGAGAGGGGGGTGGGGGGGAGAAGTCTCCGTGGCCGCTGCTTTTTAACAAACAAAAAAACCACCGAGGAATCGCAAAAGCAAGCCCACGTGGCACGGCAGTCGTCACCGCGGGTCGTAACGGGGATTGGGGTGTGGTTTGTGGGTTTCCCCGCTTTCGATGCTCGAGACTGACGCTACAGTGAGGAGGGAGAGAGCGCGTTTGACACTCGACAAAAATTATTTGACGAATCAAAGTTAACCGCCGCGGTTAAGTTCTTAGACAAATTCCGGCTGCCGCTGGAAAAATTTCTCGATTGAGGCAGCTGCCCGATGACCCCCCAATTCCCATTAGCAACGAGGGGGGCACGGGCCCCCCCCAAGGTGTTACCAAATCGACGTTACACGCACAAGAGCCGCACTTTATTTTCTCACAGAGACAGCCAACTTGTTGGGTTATTGCAGAGATGCGTCGTCACTAACACGATCGAAAGGTCGCGTGTGTAACTTTCACTATTTGGGTTGGGCCTTTTGTTGCGATCGAAAACATCGCCTTCGATTATTTGCGAGACTTTACCGAAAGAACCAAAGAGCATAGATTTCCCTGCAGGTCACGAAAGCTTCCAAGTCGAAATTTAAATTTAGGTTCCGAAACAGGAAACGATAAAACGCAAATCTCTCCCTCCACTGGACAAGCAAAATAAAACTAAAATAATCGCCTCGACAAACCACCAATTCCAAAAAGGTTTTGTGGTTTGTTAGTGATTACATTTGGTAACTTTCCAAACGGTCTTTGCCACAGCGCGTCGCTTTCCTGCCCAGAACAAAAACCTGCGGTGGTGGTGGTTTACCAGCGAGAGCACACAAACTTTGGGTGATTTTTCAACGAACAAAACATCAAACGGCAACGACGATTAAATAACGCTTTGGCAATATTTCGCGACAGAAAACATTATCCCCCAAGCAAAACGCAAGTTGGGCGCAACCGGTTTGCCGTTATTAAAAACAACAGCGCACCAACAAACCCATTTCACATTAAGCCTTCACAATTTTCGGCGCTATAGAAAAAACACATTTTTAGTTTTTTTTCCTTACAACAACAATTAGAACACAGAGACATTTCATTTTAGGGGTCACGTTCATTAAAAAAAGGGGGGCAAGGGAGAGGCAAGAGGGCGAGAGGGAGGAGGTGGGAAAAGGTCGTAAAAAATATCGTTATTATCCGACGTTTACAATCCTGGTAAACTTGCAGCGACGGACATAGGAAGCTACATTTGGGGAGGGGGAGGGATTTGTTACCTGCAAAAAAGTGCAAAAAACAGGGCTTTTAACCGTTAAAAGAAACAACTTTTACGCCGTACGATTTGCAACCTTTACAAGTTTCGTTTTTTCTCTCGACGTCAAAGGGGAGGGGGGGGACGGAATAAAACCATTAAAGCTCCCCCCGGCTATTTAACGAACGGTCCCTGCGTTATCGCAACATAATCGCCTTAACTCCGCGCTAGTTACTCGTTAATTTTCCCCCTCGGACTGCAATTCCTTTCTAGAGGGCGGTACGGTACGATCGATCGATAACGGTACGGACGATCGATCACTAACGGTACGGAAGATCGCCAACGGTACGGAAGATCGATCACTAACGATACGGAAGATCGCCAACGGTACGGAAGATCGATCACTAACGATACGGAAGATCGCCAACGGTACGGAAGATCGATCACTAACGGTACGATCGATCACTACGTCGAGAAGATGGGAGGGAGGGGGGGAGGCAGAAAGGGATAAGGGAGTGGGGGGAGGGGAAGAGGCAAAAAGTAAAAAAAATAAAACCGGCAAAGCTGACGCCAACGGGGGTACGCGCGCAACGGACTAATTTTTGTTCGCAGCGGCTAAATCGTTTGACCGCCGTCCGTGTTTGGGGAGGGGGGGGGTGGTGTGAGGGTCGGGGGTAGAAATTTCAGAAGGGAGAGAAGGGGGGGGGTGCCCGTACCACAAGCGCACGGTTGGGGTTTTTTTTGTGGTTCCGGGGCGAGCGATCGATCGAGCGCGCAGTGAGCCCTGCGTGGAGGGAGCGGGGTGGGGGAGAAAGGGGTAGGGGGCACAGCGGCAGGAGAGGGAAGGGCGGATTTGGGTCCGTGATGGGTTTTTTTCTCCGTTAAGAGTTCATTCCCCTCCTTGTTAAATCCTCCCCACCCACCCCCCCTCTCATCTCAGCCACCACCATCACCAGCTCACACCTACAGATTAAAACACTCAAACCCCCTACTCTCCTCCCTCCACTCTTTTGGTCGTACATGCCCCGTGTGTATCGTTTACTGTTAAATTGGAATCACAGTTCCTATCAAAACCACCACTACTACTACTACATTGCTTTCATAGCTTTGTTTTGGCGATTTCGAAAACGCACGGTTTAGCCATGTTTGTTGAAGTACAAAGTTAGCCTGGAAACTTTAAACTAAACCGTCTCATGGTCATCGTTCGACGTGCATGCCACTGGCATTTTTGCACGCGGCGTTGATACGCAGATTCTGTTATTTTTCCTGGACGTTTCCATGTTGCGCGTCGTCACTTTAAAAGACGCTCCCCCGTTCGTCTTTCTGTTCGCTGCGGTTCTCACTCACTTGGCTCACGGGGCTACACCAAATAAAAACTGAAACTCTCCAAGACGCTTGCGAACAAACTCCCCCTTACCCCCTACTGGCGCACACCACCAAACTCAATTTTGCTCGGGCCGTGTTGATCTAGCAAAGGCCGGCACCGCTTTTGGATAAACTAAATCGCCACCACCACCCTACAGCGCTCTACCCCCCCCCCCTGCCAACCCACGTGGCTACCGAGGACTTCACACAGAATCTCCCCACGCCTTCGGACACGAAAACCCATGTGACACGTAGCCTGAACAAGAATCACCCCCCCTCCCCTATAATCCCCTAGCGACAGGCCACCTTTTTTGGGTGGTACAAGCTAGCGAGCACCTTCACGAAGGTCAGCAGGAGGAGGAGGTTAACGGTGGTCAAGCTCTACCTACACGCCTGGTCATCAACGTCTTTCCCCCTACCCAGTGCTTGCGTCTGCAGCATCGAACGCCCCCAGTTCAGATTGACCCGCGAGTGGGAATCTAAACGCGCAAAAGATTCAAAGCGGCGGTGGCTTTGCCTCTGCTGCTGCCTGTGGTGGTGGGCCTGGTGAACTGCGGATGCCGGCTACCACTTCAAGTGCCCAAGCAAGCCTCTCTCCGGCAGAAGCCGGCTACCACTTCAAGTGCCAAAGCAAGCCTCTCCGGCAGAAGCCGGCTACCACTTCAAGTGCCCAAGCCTCTCTCCGGCAGAAGCCGGCTACCACTTCAAGTGCCCAAGCCTCTCTCCGGCAGAAGCCG